GAAACAAAAATGACCATTTTCCCCATAAAAGTGATATTTAGCTCCCACATACATGAACACAGGCAAATGGCATCAGGCTTGAATAATAACTTTATAAAATGCAGGTGCCAATGATGCTGCATAAGAGGGGCACAGCCAGATGTCATGGTGGAGCCTGTTTAAGCGTATATTTTCCTCACTTCATCTCAGAATCTTCTCATCTATGTAGATAAAGAGTGAGGGATAGATTAGGATGCCAGTTCTTACTGTCTCTGAATTAAGTCTTAAAATTCAAAGAGCATTAAAGCATATGCTTATGCCTCTATTCCCTCCTTCCCAGAATGGAACCCCACACCCTTTGAGAAACCTTAGAAAATACATAACCTGCCTCACTCCTTATTCAGCTTAACTCGTGGCAGAATGAGCTCGTGGCAGTGTCTTATCTCCCTGTCGGTTTTTGAGTTTATAGTTCTCAGTTTTATTTTTCTGTACTAGTTGCAATCTGGTGCTTAACACTGTGATATAATTGAACATGACTTGAACAACATCGCGGGGCTGAATTGATCACCACAAGGCAAATCTCCAAAAAGAAATGTAAAAATTTATTTTTTTCCCTCTCTGTGAATAAATATTTGGGGCTGTGAAAAAGTGGATTCCTGAGGTGATTTGGTGTGTTGATAGAACAAGCACCTGTTCTCTGGGTTATTCCCAAACCTGGGTTATCTAGTCTAGACTATGGTTCTTCCCAGAGCATGTTCCAGGAAACAGTAGTCCTTTGATCTGCTTCACAATCAAAAGGATGTGAAATGAAATGAAATAAGATGAAATAAAATACTTGGCATTGGGTCATGAACATTTAAAACCATGAATATGATTTCCACTTCCTGGAGTCTCACAACACTTAGGTAGCTTGTAAAAAAGTATTGCAGTGAGGACAAAAATCTATTTAATTTTCAAAACCAGTGTTTTTCAGAACTGTTAGATTAATCAACTCCTTCTTTTGTAATTATCTGTTACAATTCCCCCGGAACTAGTGTTCTAAGAAACTCATTTGAGGATATATCATAGTTCATCAATTTCTAGATGCTTATTGTCTTCACTCTTTTATGCCTCTAGAATTGGGATGCTTTTTATATTTAATGATGTCCTGGCTTCAATGAAATATGGTATTTCCCTAGCAAATTTAATATCAGATATGTATGCTATTTTAGTTATGATTAGGCTCATCTGAGAGAGACAAAAATTCAAAATGACAGTGGCTTAAATAACATAGGAATTGGTCTACCACCAACAAATCTGGAGATGGGTGGTCCTCCATTAGAATTATACTCCATGGTGTTGGAGACCCAGACTTCTTCCTTCCTGTTGTTCTGTTTTCCAGTCTTTATATCCAAGGTCATATCGTGGTTCAAAAAGGCTGCTCCATGTCTATCCGTAGCAGGAAAATAATTTCTGCTAGCAGTAATATAAAAGAAAATCAATAAAAAGGAATAAAAGTGAAGTGCCATTTGTCTCCTAAAGAAAGTTCTCAGAAACTGCCAATAACATTTTGGCTTATATCCCAGAGTCCAGTACTTAGTAAGGTGTCAACACATAGTAGTGAAGGGGGACTAGGGAATGTGGTCATTTTTTCCAAGCTGCATGTGATGAGCTAAAATTGTTATTTCTATGAATAAAGGGAAATCCTATGAAAAGGGAGGATTAAAAAAATTAGCACTACCTGCCATAGTATGATCATAAAATATTGATATTTATAGGTAATTTGGCAAATTACCCTATAAATAGAAACTAGAGAAATATCCAAGATAATCCTTCCGGAGTTAAAAACATGAAGACAAATATCGTTGAAGATGAAAAATTCATTTTGCCATTTGCAACCAGAAAATTAGCCCTATCCTCTCTAATATCAAATAGTTTAGAAGAAATTTCTTGGTATTCATGGCCTTGGATTGTGAAGGACAGAACAGAATGATATTCTCTGTTGCCTTCTTTTGATTCTCAGGTCACTCTGATTATCCAAATTTAAGTGGAGGAAAGTGCAGCCAGAAATAGGGGCAGTCACTCACATGGTGGATATTGTGGAGATATGGGCTCAGAGTAAGAATGTCCAGAATGTCCAGAATTTGACTAGAGTGTTCTCAAGCTGCTCTGTGATTATGTTTGCATTACTCTTTCAGAGATTTTGATTCAATTAAATGCAGGAAATACTGTAAAAAATTCTCCAGTGTTCACCATTGCCTTTAAATTTATATTTGCAATATTTTTTAAACTCTGATTTTAAATAGAAATATTGAAGCAGGGAGACTGTTCAAATTTAACCTCAAATTTGACTAATGTTAATTTGGAAATACAACTAGATTATGACGGAAACTTTTTCAGCATTACAGTTGAAAGAATTAAAAATGTCCATATGCCACTGTGTAAGTCCTTTTTAAAATAAAAGCCACTGTCACTTCAAAATTTCTGTCACTATCAGCTGATACTCTTGATTCTTTTGCTTTATTAAGGTATCCTTTGACACACACACACACAAAGTATGTGTTGAAGCCAAACTTGTGTTACCAGTTCCTAAAAGCTATTATTCTTTGATGCTTACCTTTATTTATAAGCCCTTAAAAACACTCTTACTTTACAGGAGCATGCAATAATTATGGAATAATGGGATATAAGATTTGCTCTTTGTTTATTACATCAGATTACCTGATATCATGAGGCGAATAAAATTGCACCATAGTATGTACCTGTTGATCTTCAAATCCTATGGGTTTATTTTTAGGAAAAGCAATATTAAATAAGTGATAAAAATTCTGAAAGATCCAAGAGGTGATCTTTTTGAATTGGATCTGGCTTAGTGGGTTGGTAAGTATGTTTTCAATAAAAATGCCATTTTGCTTGTTATTTCTCTATTGTCTTATCTTATTGAGAAGGATTAACTGTTAGTATTTTTTAAAGCAATAAATCATAAAAACAACAAGAGCAGACTGGTATTTATAATTTAATTTAATGTGCCTAAGGGAGAAAAACACTTTTTTAAGGGATGAAACCCACCAGTTAGATCTATATTTCCTCAACATTATGAGATATTTATTGAATACCTCCTATGTGCAAAGCATTCTGGTAGGTTTGGGCACATGGAAGTCAAATTCTAAATAACTCAACCAGGCTGAAATGTGTTTGATGTAATAGTTATATCTTTATTGCTTCAATAGCGTAGAAGGAAAATATCCTATCTATTTTATTGAATTATAAAGTAATAAAGAAACAACCAGCACTGCACCTGTTTTTCTGGAAACTTGAGACCACTTAGTACTACAAATTTTTAAAAGCACATTGATAAGGCAATGACAATAAAATTGGAAGGTATTAGTAATTAATAAGATAGGTGTATTTCCATTGCAGTTAGAAAGATTCCTTTGGAGAGTGAATCTATCTCTCTGGAACTATCTATTCAGAGCAGTCAATTTATTCTCCTCCAACTCTAGGTTTCTGCAGTGTGGTCAGTCTAATGGCATAAAGATCTAACATCACTTGGATTTCCATGATACTGCTCTTAAAGTATCATGCAGGCACTCTACTGTGATCTGCTTGACATTTTCTGTACTCTTCTTCCATCATCTAAATAGCAGTGTTTTTAGTAATGGAACTCAGGATTTAATAACTTTCTTATTGGGTGATAATAGTTTCTTTAAATCAAAACTGAATTCTCTCATTAAAATTCAAATTTATAAATATTTTGGAGGGATACCTTTTCAAGCTGACATGTAAATTACAAATCTTCCTTTAGTCTCTGAAGCAATTATATACTTGTCAGAAGTAATTTTATTTGAAAGATACTGGATCAGTAGCCCAACTTGTTTAATGGAATGCATCATCATAATATTTTTAAATAGATAAAATTTTAGCTTTTATAGACATTTTACTTTTGTTGCAAAATATCGATGTATTTCTGATAAAGTAAGGAAATGATAGATGGAGCTTAGTGTTAAGAATTCTAAAACCTGGATCTGGTTTCAGGGGTATTTCTTATTTAACCTTAGCATGTCATTTAATTTTTAGAAGTTTGTCTCCTCATTCATAAAATAGAGTAAATAATATTTGCCATGATTACACAACATAGAACTATTGAGAAGATAAAATATTGAGAAAAAAATTGAAAACTTTAAAACACTCTCAAAAATGATGTATGTGAATGTGTGTGTATAAGTGACAAAAATTAATAAACAAAATCCTTATTTGGGTTGAGTCCTTATTATTTATGGAAGTGAAAGTTATCACTCTTTAGAAAAGTCCGGGAAAAAAATAGGGTATTGTGTTTGAGATCTTCTTTGAGTGACTTGAACAGAGCAAGGTCCATAACATTTAATTTACCTTCTTGGAAAGACAGCAGCTGAAACGGACTCTGTCAGGACTTGAACGTGGTTCTCTGAAGACATAATGGTATTGTACATTTGGCATTCCACACTTTCAGAAGCCCTTTTTGATCTTCAAGTATCTTATAAATATCAAACAATTCATCCCAGTTTTGTTTCCTCATGGCCAGTGTAAAATTGGTGCTCTTTGGGCCTCTGAGTATAGTAATGCATAGTTGCCACAGAGGCATTGTTTTAAAATCAACTTCATACAGAATCACACTCTCTAACATAAGGGACATAAAAGTAAATGTTATTTCTGAAGCCAAATTTAAATAACACCATGTCTTCTTACATATGGGTGACCCCAACTCTGATTCAAGATGATGGAAACATTGGCTAAAACTATTGCACTGTATGGTAACCCAGAATAAATTCTACATCTTGTTCTTATGATTTTGCTCTGTGTTAAGATTCCCTGCATTGAATTATTTTTAAACATATATGAAATAGAAATCCTACACTACTAATACCTTTCAGGGATGTCATTCAGGAAACATGAATGTATGAAATTAAAAAAATAATGATAATGTTATAAAAGATCATGGCATTTTCTTATAATGGTTACTGGGATACCTTTGAAGAAATCTGATGTCTGCCTCTCTTCCTTAGGCTTCTTTACCTGAAACAACTGATCTTCCAGAGTTTTTTATTGCTTCTTATAAATGGCCTGGATGGACTCATGGCCCATTGGATCAAAAAAATTGTGCTGCATCATGGGCATTTTCTACTGCAAGTAATAGTCATTTTAGTTACTTCCTTATGATTCTCCCTTTAAGTCAAGATTCTGGGACAGTAATTAAAAGATTTTGAAATTCAGAATATTTAAATATTAACATTTGGCCGATTAAAATAAAATTGTATTCAGAGCAGAGAAAGCAGCCTGAACATTATATAAAAATCCATTTTCACTCTGAAAATTGGTCTTGATTTTTAGGGTGTAATTTTAAATGGCAAATAAATCAAAAGAGCAACAAAGAAAAGTTGCCAAAATTTGTTTGTCCTTTGAGAGTTAAGGCCAGATGATAAGAAGAGTATAACGTATGTCTTTACTCATAATATTATCTGTAATACTAATATGAACTTACACATACTTACATGATTCTTATATTCTTTTCTCTTTATAAATTTTCAAAAATATACCTTATTATTAAACTACTTTGATGTAAAGAAACACTTCAGAACAAAATAATAATGGATTAAATGGGTTTTATCATTTTAGGTGAAAGCAAATTTGTAGCTTTTGACTCCAAAGTTATGAGTAGCTTCCAAATTAGTATTGCTGTTACTTCAAAAGTGTAAGGAATATTACTTTTATAATTACTTTCATATAAGTTCACAGGTCCAATAAATCAATACTCAGGTTAATCTTAAGATTTGGTCTCTAAATTAAATTATATTCCAGCAAATAACCTAACATGATGTTGATTGGCTACTATCAAAGATCTGCATACAACTATGTTCTAGGCTCTGAAGGTAATTCCAAGAGTGCTCAGAATTCTAAAGTCTTAGCACAGAAAGCATTGTAAAATAGGGACATAGATTCGCAGAGAAGCCAGCTCTGAAGGGTGATACTATTTTGGACAGAAAAGTACTGATATAATTGTCCAAATATCATTGCTTCATAGTATCAGCTAGTTTGTTCTAGAAATGATACCTTTGGCCAAGCTTACCTCTGGAATCGCTTTATCTATTAAGCCTACACTACTTCCTACTCCTCTAAAACAAATGTTTTCTGGATTTCTGATATTTGTCCTCACTTACTAGCAATCCACACGGGGGACCTGTTTGAGCCTTGTTTCACGTGGGTAGGGAGATATTTAAGCAGATAAATCATTTGTCATTTTATGTTTATGTGGTTAATGTATTACACCTCTTAGGTGATATATAAGAATTTTGCTTTAAATTGAAGTTAGACCAGTATTTCTGAAGATGTCTTAGGAAAGATGTTGCTGGTTAAATAGTGAGAGTAACTTGCTAGCCTAATTTGGATGGTGTACTTTGGTATCCCCAGGACACAGTCCCACTGATGGCCTCAGCCCAGGGCCATGTCTGGATTTGTCCACCTACCTAATTCACCAAAACACCAGAAAGAGGGTTTTCAACACTACTGAGGTTTCAGATGACATGGTTTTATATTCAGGCTTAGGCCATTTTTTTCTGAGTGTGTTAAGCAAAGAAAAGAATAAACTAGGTTCTTTTAAAGATCCAGATAATTACGTCGAAAGTAATAGTTAAAATAAGAAAAAAATGTTTTTCAAAGAAGCTAAAAGATATTAAATGGAGTAAAGAAGACATTTGAAAATATACATATATAAAACAATAGTTATGCAGCCAAATACAATTCAAGGACGATGTCAGAAGCTGAAGAGTTGAAAGAGTTTGAAATGGGGGGTGAGTGATGCATGTCAGGGGCAAATGTAGAGATAGAATAAATAAGCAGGGGAAATGGTAGAGTGTGTCTCAGAGGTAAAGACCAGTAACAGTTTTCAAAAGGAGGGTGGGAAACAATTCGCTGAGCTGAGTCATTCTTAAGTATTTCAAGTGAATTTGTATTAAACACTCACTGAGATTCAGAAATGTCTGAGAAGAACATGTGTCCCGTTGGAATTTAAAATATTTATCCTTGAGTTGAAATCTACAGATTCATGGGCCTGGGAGGGATCTTAGACGTCAAATTTTTCAAGCCTTTAGTTTTATAGAAGAGTTACAAGTAGATAAAATGACTTATCCTATCTCAGAAATGATCCTGGAAGCCAGGTTACTGATTCCTTGACTGCTGTTGTCCCAAGTGGTTTTTGAACTAGAGAATAGTTACACTAACATTTTCCAAATTTCCATTGGATTCTGAACCATTGTACTGAAAGTCAAAACATCAAAAATTTTCTATTTTCTTCTATGAAAGAGGGAGTTAATTTCTTGAGACTAGCAGAGGTCATAGTAGAATGTCATCTACTCTTATGAAATATATCCCCACACAGTAAGAGGTGGGAATCGAGAAGGAAGTAGGTTATAGACTGAACAGATATTGAGCATTTAAAATGTGCCAAAATTGCACTACAGAATTGTAAATATGCTGTAGTTACATAAAAACCCTGTACATACAGAAATATATATGTAATGAATTATTTAAAAATGAATTTTAGAATAATTCTAAATTAGCACCTTGAGAAGTTCCAGTATACAGACAATTTTGATGGGCAAAAGCTATAACTTCTTCTGAGAAAATTGGATGAATAAAAGAAAGTTTACAACTTTGTTGCCTTTAAATAAAAGTAGCTAAGTTGAAATACTAAGAACAAACTATTCCAGCCATCCAACAACAACAAAAATTTGTACCAAAATTTTCCCATGATCTCATCATTCATATCAAAAAGATAACATAAATAGTTTTCTGCTACTGGTGGATTAATTTCCCTAGTTTATTATTCTGTGATGGTAGCATTGTGACTCTTGTTCATTATTATAATTTCTAGTGCTTAGTACAGTGCCTGTCACCTCATAGGCAGCCAATAAATATGTGCTGGGAAAAGGAATGAGCTGATTAACAACAACCATGGGAATTTTATATTGTTATAAATTTATACCAGGTATGAACAAAGTGAATTCCATGTCTATGTAATAAGATTAGGATCATGATTTTCAAAATATTATGAGGATAGATATGTGCTATGTTGTTTTTAGATATTTTATAAGATTCATGTTAGTATAGATTAGCTTATGAATGGTTTTCAGAGTGGTTAACCTCAATACTGGTTTAAAGACCAAGGACTCAGTTTATTCCAATATATCAGATTAACATGGATGAATTTCCAGTTGGTATTTCTATGATAAGTTTTTTCCGATTTCCTCCATTTAGTTGTACTCACTTCAAAAGTTATATATTTATCCATGACTATATGTGAGGTATAGGAGTAGTTACAAATGTAAATGAGATATGATTCTTGCCCTCAAGGAGTTTCACTTGACAGATTTCTTAATGAAAAATTCATAAGTGTATAGAACATGAAAGGAACAAGGGACTAGAAAAGTCTTTGAAGTTGATAAGACAATTGAGCAATACCAAAATTAGATAAAAATTATGACTGAAATTATGACCCAGTTAACTTTGCTGGAATACAGAGATATATTAATGACATTCTTTTTAATTTTAAATTACATTAAGTTCTGAAGACTAGGATTCAAAAAAAAGGGCTATGTAAATTATTAAAAATGTCATGTGCCACTTGAATATTAATGAGTATTCTATTTGAAACAGGTGTGGCAGCTGACCGGATAGCAATTCAGTCCAAAGGTCGATACACAGCCAATCTATCCCCTCAAAATTTGATCTCCTGCTGTGCCAAGAACCAACATGGATGCAATAGTGGAAGCATCGATAGGGCTTGGTGGTTCCTGAGAAAACGTGGGTAAATAGCTGCCCAACATGTGTTTCTAGGATTCTTATAAGTTCTGTTTGGGGTCAATAAGGAAAAAAATAAATTGCAAGATTTTTACTGAAAATATATATATGCTACATCTAGATAAATGTGTGCCTTACATTTAAATATACACTATATTTGGTATCTACTAAGATTATATGCTATTGGAAGCAATTATTTGAAGAATGTATACATTCCTCACTAAATTAATGGAAAGACTCAAGTAAGCATTGTCTTCTTGTTGCTCTGAGCTAAATGGCCCTACTGAGTCTCAATGGGAATAGAGTAGTTGATATTGCTGATACCTTTGCTGAGTCTTTCAGTTGGTTTTAGATGGATAATGCCAGGCAAAAATTAGATTAAGAATGAGATGAATAAAATAAAGAATTTATAGTTGCCTCAACTTATCAACATCATTAAGTGTCACTGCCCCATTTGATGGGAAAAGGCAGGCTGTATTTCCTTACTCTCATGTAGTCTGATACCTACTGCATCCTCATATCTACTGTAAGAGCTAATCTACTTAAAAGCTAAGTTATTTGGGTAAGGAAACTGCAGCTGATAACTAGTAGTATACATATGTACTGCTCCCCTATCCTTTTATCATCCACTGAGTCCTCTTGGTTTGCTATAGAACAGTCAGGTGCTATGAAAGCATGGATGTCAGATATTGATGCATGGCAACAAATTTCTTTAAAAAAATTTCATACATTTTGCTTAATAACATAGTGCTTAAAATGAACAACTTGGGCTGATACCTTCCTGGTATAGTAGTGCTTGGTTGGCTTCTGTTTTGTGCTATGACAAAAATTAATACCTTTTAGAAGCTTAGAAATATAAATTAACATTGAGACCCAACTAAATCTTACTGTGTTGATTTGCTTAGATTACCATAACATAATCCCATAGACTGGGGAGCTTAAACAACAGGCCTTTATATCCCACAGTTCTGAAGGCTGAGAAGTGAAAGATCAAGATATTAGCTGATTTAGTCCTCGTGAGAGCCCTCTTCTCATGTGCTGTCTGTTGTGTCCTCACGTGGCAGAAAGAGAGTTCTCGTATCTCTTCCCCTTCTTATAAGAACATTAATGCCATTGTGAGGACCGCACCTTTATCACCTCATTTAAAACGAATTATCTCTCAAACGCCCCTCCGAACACCATCACATACGGCGTTGGGGGGTTCAACACATGAATTTTGGGTGACACAATTCAATCAATGGCACTCATTATCCCAAAGCAGGATGTTTAATGCAAGAATTTTTTGAAGTGTTTATAGTCTTTAGTGGCTTTGCTTCCATCACACTCCTTGCTCAGATTCTCTTACTCTGTTTAACACTATTGAATATTTCTGAAGCAATCTTATTGGGTACTCCCATGGCCAGTTCAAAGTGAATATATATAAAGTGAATTTTATGGTTTATTTTCCTTATAATCTTCTTCTATGTTCAATAAATTACATTAGTTTTGGTACCAAATAATTTGTACTGTTCTATGTTCAGTTTCAAAATCAGAAATCAAAATTATTTTGTGTCTGATAACTTTCTACTCTATTAACATTTAACACTATCTTATTGTATAGTATTTCTCCCAAAATATCATGAACCATAGAAACATAATAATTGAAATCTTATGAGGAGATATTTATTAACTCAATAAAATGTAAAAGTAAAACCAAGAACAAAACAGCCTTAATTACAAAACTTACATAATTGATCAAAATACCCATCTCAACATAATAAAATTGTTTCCTTTTTCACATTAAACTTGGCTTTTCTACATTATAATTATAGATGCAGGATGAAGTACTTCCCCTATTAATATTACCACAGATTTTATTGACAGTCACTTTTCATCTTTAGGAAATTCTGTGCTGTCAATAAATTATTTATTAAAATGGATTGAAATGAGACTTTTAAAATTATAATAAAAATGAAGGGGCAGGGAAGAGTATAATATTTTGAACTGGTATGTTGGAATTAATTCACATTTTGAAAGTTACACATGTAAGCAGTCAGGAAAATTTATAAATTTTCAGTAAAATTGCACATAGGATATTATGGCATTTTCCTAAATATTATTTCCTTACTTATTCCTCATAGACTGGTATCCCATGCATGCTACCCACTTTTCAAGGACCAAAATGCTACCAATTATGGCTGCGCCATGGCAAGTAGATCTGATGGGCGGGGAAAACGGCATGCCACAAAGCCATGTCCCAACAACATCGAGAAATCGAACAGGATCTACCAATGTTCTCCTCCATACAGAGTCTCCTCCAACGTAAGTCTAAATGGAAAGAATTAACAATGGTTAACTTTCTCAGAAAGATAGAGTTCTACTGTTATTTAAACGATTTAAAAGCTATTATATTCTAAAACAATGCTAGTTTTCAGATATAATTTTTTATATTCTTAAAGTGTCCATTAAAGACTCTCAGATTTCCGAGCTTTGTAATATTAGCAGCATGAATGATTATATGATATATATTTGCATACTCAACAAATAAAAGCTAAATCAGACCCCTTTTCACTGACTTTTTGGTGGTAGTAGCTCATTGTGTCAATCCTTTGCCTTAGTCCACAAAATAATTGAAGTAGACATAGCCATAACGGGAAAATGACTCCCTTAGAGTCTAGTTTTTCATGTTGAAAGCCTGGACAAATTTTATTCCGTCATATCAGTGTTACCCAGACCTCACTTTCAGTGAATATCTGAACCTTGAGTGGCTTTCAGTTACCTCCAGAATTCGGTTTAGTATTCTTACCATGGCATATAGGTCTTCTGTGATTTGGCTCTGATCTACTGCCTTTACAGACTTTTGTCCTGCCTGCATATGCCCCTCCACCTGCTCCAAATGCTCCTGACAAACAGGACTACTGGTCTGCTCCCTAGATATATCATGATCTCTCATGCTTCTCTACTTAGCCAGGTGATGATTCCTCTGACCCATGTGGTTATCCCACCTATTTCCATCTGGTAGAATCCAACACATGGGTGAAGGCCCACGTCAAAACTTCATCTTCTCTGTGACCTTTTCTTGACTCCTACATGGGATTACTTTTCTTTTTCATTTGCATCCCTGGGAACTTTGTGCTTATCTCTGTAATAGAACTTATTACATCATAATGCAATTAGTTGTGCTACTGTATGTCTACTCTACCAAAATGTGAATTCCTTGAGGACAGGTACAGGATCAATATTTGTTTCTGTTCTAGTTTTTGGTATACTCTGTGATCAATGCACGTATATGAACAAATGAAAAAATGAATGGCCTGCCTTTTAACTAAGGGCTGATCACACAGTGGGTGACAACATAGAAATATTTATATACTATAGCCACCCTGAGGAACCTCACTAAACAATCATCTGGGGTTCTGTTAATCAAAAGAATGGAGATGACACAAGTCTCCACTGATAAAACATAGTTAATTATTTTTTATTTGTGACCAGAAAAAGTTATTATTTTATTTCCTCTTCATTCCAAAATTATTACCGGTGGTAAAAGTCAATGAAACAAATGGGTGCATCTTGTCTTTAGCAACTTGATCAATGTGGTGTTTCACATGAGTATTTCAAGGCATGATTAAGAGTAAATTATAAGTGGTCAAGGCACATTGGATTGTATAATTCTTAAATTGATGATACAGCACCTAACATTATACACCAAACAATAGGTTTGGTCTGATAATAGGTATAGGTAGGTAACAGATCTGATATAGATACCAATAGAAAATAGGTCTGGTAACAATGTTCATTGATAACTTTTCCTTCTAGGAAACTGAGATCATGAAAGAAATCATGCAAAATGGACCAGTACAAGGTAAGCTTGAGTGAAATATGGTTGTGTCTTATTTATTTCTTTAATAAACAGTATTACCTTTTAATTCATGCAAAAGGAACTTAATAAGAGAAAATTTTTACTTTTAGAGTGTTCATAAAGGTTCAACAGTTTCTAAGATCAGTGCAATTATAGGATATATGTTTACCTAATACCTTCATTATCTGCCATTTTATTTTAAGAAGATAGACACATTCATAAATTGAATTCCTAAATATTAATAACACATTTGATGAAAGTCTGCTAAGTCTTTCCAAAAGTGATCATGGGCCAAGCCGACAGTCAAACATGGAATGCTAAGTAGTGGAGCTCATTTAATTATTCAGTCTATACTTAAGGACCACACATAGTATTAGAAATTTCCTCACCGTCATTTTAAAGGGATTAGGTAATGGATTGAAAACAAATCAAGCTTTAGCAGTGGAAAAAAATCTAAATATTTTCCTTTTTCCATAAACTCAAAATAAATAAGTCAGTGTGATTCTTGTGTTTTATAAAATGCCTTTTATTTTGATCAATTTTGTAGATGTGTTATGGATAGTAAATTAGCAGTAAATAAGAAAATAATATACCAACTTTCCATTGACTTTCATTTTTAATATATCATCTCTGATATGTAGTTCCTCTGCTTCCCTATTGAATTTTATTTTGTACCACTGCAATGGATGAAGAAGATAAGTTCATAGAGTATATCTCCTGTACTAAACATTGCCTTGAAGAGCATGGAAGAACAGACCCAGCGAGGCCTAAAATGGAAATTCAGGTTGTGAACATGTGAAGGCCCAAAATGTATTATCAGTGCAGTGGAATGAACCAAATCAACTTAAATTCGCCAAAATTAAATGTTAAACATTTGATATATACCTAAGGAATTATTGGCCAGCATCTACTTTTGCTTTTCTGAGCGCTGACCTAATTAGTTCTGGTTCAACCTCTAGCAGAAACCATGGATTTTCAAGTTGTGTTGGAATATTTTTATTGATCATTATCACCACTTAACATTTATCGAGAAACTAGAGCTTACACTAAACATGTCCTGAATTGAATTCTAAAAATCCTGGGACCTTAAACAAAACAAACAAATGAAGAGAATTTTTTCCTTGTAATTATGTAATTTTCATTGGCTGTTATAAGACTGGGGGAGTCATGTAATTTACATGCATGCTTCAATAAGTTAAGTTTGTGTGACAATTTTAAAGGAGCAAAGGTGTTGTAAGTCAAGGCTGAATTCAAAATTCCACCTTTGGCATTTGCTACTTAAATGACTTTGGGCAAGTTATTTAAGCTCTCTGAATCTTCAAGTCATTGTAGTACTGTTTCAAGTTTCTCTCTTTCTTTTAGTCAGAAGAAATTTGGATATAATTCTTTAAAATTGAGAGCCCGGGAGGTTTATTTTATGGTCAAGTACTTAAATGTTCATGAATTTCACATAATAAATCAAAAATAATAAAAAGTAAGAATCACAGTAAGAATCAAAGATAAACATTTTAAAATAGTAAAGTTGAAATCCAAATTATTCAACACATGTGTCAAGAACGTACATTCTGCCAGCCTGAGCCAGGAGCAGGAGATAGAACTGCAATCAAGGTGGGCTCCATCTTGCCCATAGCCTTGTTATAATGCTGTGTAATATGTTTGCTGAAGCTTTCCAAAAGTAAAATTGCACTACAGTAACTTATGTAGTTAATCTTTATGGGTTCATCAAGTCTGTTTTGGTGTCAGAAACTGAAGCAAGGAGCCACCGTCAAGTTAATTGTGATGGTCTCTCTCCCATGCTTCTTCAGTTGGTAACGTTTCTCAGCAATGAAGTGTATATTTTATTCCTGATGCTTAGGGAGAGTTGAAAAGAGCTTAAGGGGTAAATGGTTCTATAGAGGAGAAAAACCACTAGCAGTATCTTCACATTTATACGAGTGCTGGTTGACTCATCTTGCTGTAGATGCAACTTGTTTGTCTGCACAGTGTTGCCTGGGCTAACATACGGCATTTTCTCCTCTCTCAGTACAAAATAATGTAAAAGGCAATGGGATGCTGGATAAATAACATGGTGTGCATTCTTCTAAAATCTGTAGAATTAGAAATAAGTTTAGGTGCTGAAAAGAAAACAAAACAAGGTCTGCGTAAAGTACAGTTATATAAATTCTTAAAATCCTATGGGAATGTATTTTATTTTATTTATTTATTTTTGGGGAGATGTATTTTAAAGTAGATAAAGAAGACTTAACCTCTTTTGAGAATATTTAAAGAGCATCAGAAAAGGCATGAAACATTAAAAAAGGAAATAAAAGGTGGAACATTAAAAAGTTATATATGACTTTGGAATAGAAGCCTCATTTTAGGATCTATCAAATGCTTGTGACCCTAGTTTTTATTTTATTTAAAAAACATGTCAAACCAATTATAGACAAGCATTGTGCACTTACCAAGGTATACTTATCTAGTCCCAACTAAAAATATTTTTAATTCATGTCTTCTAGAAGTTTAAAGTCTTCACCCTGAATTGTCCAAGCCCTTCAACAAAGCAGCACACGATACAGAAAGGAAGTAATCTAGGTGAGGGAATGAAGGAGAGCTTTATCAAATAAAAGCTCTGACTTTCTAAAGAATACAGCAGTGGCTTAGCTCTCTAGAGCTGGGAGGTTGAAATCTTGTCAAGGTATTCTTTTGCCAAAGGTGTACTTTTTATTCAAACTCACCAAGGAAAGGCTTGTATTTACTTCCAAAGATTAAGGACAATTACTTTAAGCCCTGTTTGCTAGGTTCACCCTTCAGTGCTAGCTTAATTGGAGTTTTAAGAGGCTTGTGGTAAAGTTCAAGGTTAATGGAGAAACAGCAATCACTAGCCAATGCAGTGGGGCTTCTCTGCAAGGGTTTCAATTCCTGGTAATAGTGTCTCTGTCAATTAAGAATAGATGGTGTTTTAAAGATATAATGTGTAATTAAGTAATATTCTAAATAGCTAAAAGCTGTTTTTATAAGAGAACAACAACAACAAAAATTGCAGCAATTAAATCAAGTAGGAAAGAGAATTAGGCTAAATTGCAAAGTCCCTTCTTAGATTCTCCTCCTAGCAATTTAACCATTGATTGTTCTGTGAGAATTTCTAGAGATTTTTAAAGAGATTTGTTTCAGACTGTTTCATTCTGTTGGGTTTTATTTTAGCCATAATGCAAGTCCATGAGGATTTCTTCCATTATAAGACAGGGATATATAGACATGTGACCAGAACAAATGAAGAGTCAAGCGAATATCAAAAGCTCCAGACACATGCTATCAAACTCAGTGGGTAAGGCAATTTCTTAAAAATCTTCATTTAATGCTTTTGGAAAATGGAACCAAACATATGTGTATAAAGTGCACACAGGTACCAGAATTTTTGTTGGTATGAGAGAGTTCCATACAAATTAAAAAGTATCCAAACTGTGGCACTCTTTAGTCATTATTTTAAAGTCTGGTTAAAGGGTAACTCAATATTCTGGAAAAGATCATTTCCTGTCTCTCAGTTGTGAGTGTGTTCTAAAAATCTGTTTTAAGGACAAGGAAAATATATTATTGGAATAAATTCTACATATGGCATAAGCAGGGGAAGGGTACAAATCCAAAGTATATTAGGATTTGGGGAGAAGGTTTTAGATGGAATTACAAGTGGTAGTGATTAGCAGGAAGAAAAAATAGGTTCACTTTTATTTCAGTACAAGATTATTTTTTGTATTTCTGTAAGCATTTTAGAAATTACACTTATCAAATTGTGAGTAAAATACATTCATCGCTACCAGGGCAAGAAATAGCTTCAAAATTGGGTTGCATTTCAAGAGTAAGTAGTTTCACAGACTATACTCAAAAAGAGACTGTGGTCATCGGAGACCACTTTCCCCAGTGCCTTCTCAAGCTCATTTTGACTTTGCTCTGTCTTTAAGCTCTTTTTCCTAATATCTCAGTCCAACTCAAACTAAATGCTACAGGAAAGGTTTCTGGGTCTTTTTCTTTCATTTCCATCCAAACCCTCACTTTTCTTACTTTGCCATCATGGTAAATGACTTTTTTCCTATTGAACATGTCCTTCCTGTCTAAATTTGATTGAACCTGCACAAAAGCAACCTCAACTCCAACCAAATTGCTGCCTTCTTCTTACTGATCTTTGAAACCGTTCTAAGGTATGTAGACAAGTTATCTTCTGTGATGTCTCTTTAATCATCCATCTTTATTCTATTTTTTTATATTTATTTTTTTAAAGATTTTATTTAATTGACGAGAGAGAGAGCATAAGCGGGGGAAGGGCTAAGGGAAAGAAGGAAAGGGAGAAGCAGACTCCCCATTGAGCAGGGAGTCCAGTATGAGGCCTTAACCCAGGACCTGAGATCATGACCTGAGCCAAAGGCAGACACCCAATTGACTGAGCCACCCAGGTGCCCCTATATCTACTGATTTCTTAACAAAATGAAGAAATTTATCATTCTTATACTTCTCCCCACCTCTCCTCCTCTCATACATCTTATATTTATTAGTAATATTATGATTTTAATATATTACATGATTATAGAATTTACATTCTGCTCTGAAACTATAATACTAATAGTTGTTTAAACTTTATTGTGTATTAATAAAGTCAATGATAAGCAAATATTTTTTATCATGGCTTTTCTGTCCTTGAGTTTAATTTTTATCGGTTATTTTGTTGAATAATTTTGAATTATCTTCCAGCAATTCTTTTTTTCAATTTATGATTTTTTAAAATTTATTTATTTTTTATCAAGAAGGACTCTTAATGCCTGCGGTCCTTAATTTCTTACATGTTTGAGAAAGTTTGTTTTCCTTTGATTTAAGAATAATATTCGGTATAAAATTCTGGGACTACAGTAACTTCAGAACTTTGCAGATGTTGCTCCAGGGTTTCTGGCATTGAGTTTCCCCACAGAAAAATCTCTGACTATCCGGGGGTTTTTGTCTCCTTAGAAGTGACATGACTTTTTCTATTAGAACACTCATACTAACCTTGTTTCTTTCATCCTTGAATTAAATATATTCACTTATTAAAGTACATATTATACATATGTTGGATCTATATCTCCTATTATCTTTTTAATAACATTTATTTTGTAAATTTCTTTGTGTTTTGTTGTGTATGATTTCTTTCTACATGTTCCCATCTATCCTTGAACATTTATTATATTTGGTGTTCATTCTCCAAATGGCTCTTGCCTCTGAAATGTATTTTTAATTTTTTTTTCTTTTTCTTTTGACGGCCTTCATGCTATTTGAGCTATGGGTTAGAGAGTTCATGTCTGTAATTTCTTTGAGTGTATGTTTGACTTCTCTAGTTTTTTTTTGAATAATTCTTTTTGAGCTGTACATTCTTCATGGTCTTTCCCTGCCTTCTTTTTCAAAATTTGATCTTAAATCTATGCATTTTACTCTCTATCATGTCCTCTCTTTCTAGTCCACTTTCTCTACTCTAACCTCAAAAGATCCTCAGCACCGTACATTCTATTGGTGAATTGTGGCATTCAGTCTGGTCACTATTTAACCATCCTTCTTGATGCTACATTTCCTTCCTTATTTAATTAAAATGCCATGACAAATCCTTATGCTCAATCACAACCTGGACTCTGGCCCTGCTTCATTCATCATACTTGCTTAGCAAAATCTCAACTTTGGTTAAATTCTAATTGGCCTTTTTTTTTTTAAGTATTGTGTTTATTTATTTATTTTTAAATTCCAGTATTCTTAGCATACAGTGTTATATTAGTTTCAGGTGTACAATATAGTGATTCACTAGTTCTTTTTTTTATGTTATGTTAATCACCATATATTACATCATTAGTTTTTGATGTAGTGTTCCATGATTCATTGTTTGTATATAACACCCAGTGCTCCATGCAGTACGTGCCATCTTTAATACCCATCCCCAGGCTAACCCATCCCCCCACCACCCTCCCCTCTAGAAATCTCATTTTGTTTCTCAGAGTCTGTAGTCTTTCATGTTTCATCTCCCCCTCCGATTTCCACCCCTACATTCTTCCCTTCCTGCTATCTTCTTCTTTTTTTTTTTTTTTTAACATATTATGTATTATTTCCTTCAGAGGTACAGGTATGTGATTCAACAGTCTTACACAGTTCACAGCGCTCACCATAGCACATACCCTTCCCAATGTCTATCACCCAGCCACCCCATCCCTCCCACCCCCCACCACTCTAGCAACCCTCAGTTTGTTTCCTGAGATTAAGAATTCCTCATATCAGTGAGGTCATATGATACATGTCTTTCTCTGATTGACTTATTTCGCTCAGCATAATACCCTCCAGTTCCATCCACGTCGTTGCAAATGAAAAGATTTCATTCCTTTTGATGGCTGCATAATTTTCCATCATATATATATATATATATATATATATATATATATATATACACACCACATCTTCTTTATCCATTCATCTGTTGATGGACATCTTGGCTCTTTCCATAGTTTGGCTATTGTGGACATTGCTGCTATAAACATCGGGGTGCACGTACCCCTTTGGATCACTGCATTTGTATCTTTGGGGTAAATACCCAGTAGTGCAATTGCTGGATCGTAGGGTACCTCTATTTTCAACTTTTTGAGGAAACTCCATACTGTTCTCCAGAGTGGCTGGACCAGCTTGCATTCCCACCAACAGGGTAGGAGGGTTCCCCCTTCTCCACATCCCTGCGAACATCTGTCGTTTCCTGACTTGTTAATTTGAGCCATTCTGACTGGTGTGAGGTGGTATCTCATTGAGGTTTTGATTTGGATTTCCCTGATGCCGAGTGATGTTGAGCACTTTTTGATGTGTCTGTTGGCCATTTGGATGTCTTCTTTGGAAAAATGTCTGTTCATGTCTTCTGCCCATTTCTTGATTGGATTATTTGTTCTTTGGGTGTTGAGTTTAATAAGTTCTCTATAGATTTTGGATACTAGCCCTTTATCTGATATGTCATTTGCAAACATCTTCTCCCATTCTGTCGGTTGTCTTTTGGTTTTGTGGACTGTTTCTTTTGCTGTGCAAAAGCTTTTTATCTTGATGAGGTCCCAATAGTTCATTTTTGCCCTTGCTTCCCTTGCCTTTGGCAATGTTTCTAGGAAGAAGTTGCTGCGGCTGAGGTTGAAGAGGTTGTGCCTGTGTTCTCCTTTAGGATTTTGATGGACTCCAGTCTCACATTTAGGTCATTCAACCATTTGGAGTCTATTTTTGTGTGTGGTGTAAGGAAATGGTCCAGTTTCATTCTTCTGCATGTGGCTGTCCAATTTTCCCAACACCATTTGTTGAAGAGACTGTCTTTTTTCCATTGGACATTCTTTCCCGCTTTGTTGAAGATGAGTTGACCATAGAGTTGAGGGTCCATTTCGGGGCTCTCTATTCTGTTCCATTGATCTATGTGTCTGTTTTTGTGTCAGTACCATACTGTCTTGATGATGACAGCTTTGTAATAGAGCTGGAAGTCCGGAATTGTGATGCTGCCAGCTTTGCTTTTCTTTTTCAACATTCCTCTGGCTATTCGGGGTCTTTTCTGGTTCCATACAAATTTTAGGATTATTTGTTCCATTTCTTTGAAAAAAGTGAATGGTATTTTGATGGGGATTGCATTGAATGTGCAGATTGCTCTAGGTAGCATTGACATCTTCACAATATTTGTTCTTCCAATCCATGAGCATGGAACGTTTTTCTATCTCTTTGTGTCTTCCTCAATTTCTTTCATGAGTATTTTATAGTTCTCTGAGTACAGATCCTTTGCCTCTTTGGTTAGATTTATTCCTAGGTATCTTATGGTTTTGGGTGCAATTGCAAATGGGATCGACTCCTTAATTTCTCTTTCTTCTGTCTTGTTGTTGGTGTATAGGAATGCCACTGATTTCTGTGCATTGATTTTATATCCTGCCACTTTACTGAATTCCTGTATGAGTTCTAGCAGTTTTGGGGTGGTGTCTTTTGGGTTTTCCACATAAAGTATCATATCATCTGCAAAGAGTGAGAGTTTGACTTCTTTGCTGATTCGGATGCCTTTTATTTCTTTTTATTGTCTGATTGCTGTGGCTAGGATTTCTAATACTATGTTGAATAGCAGTGGTGATAGTGGACATCCCTGCTGTGTTCCTGACCTTAGGGGGAAAGCTCTCAGTTTTTCCCCATTGAGAATGATATTTGCTGTGGGTTTTTCATAGATGGCTCTTATGATATTGAGGTATATCCCTATACTCTGAAGAGTTTTGATCAAGAAAGGATGCTGTACTTTGTCAAATGCCTTTTCTGCATCTATTGAGAGGATCA